TCTAAAGAAATGATCAAGTTTTTAACATCATTATTATTTAAAATTGTGTTGTAAAAGAAACATTTGCAGGAAAGATAATTACTAGCACTGAAGTAGGCTGATTTGATTGCTCCATTTCTAGGTATTAATATTGGGAGTATTTAGCTTAGGATGAAATTATTAGTTTTGTGGAAGGTGAGCATCGTAACTACCCACCTCCATAGTTTTGGAAACAACCGTATTTGAAGAAGTTTTAGGTAATTTAATAGAAGTAACTTTTAGTGTATTTATGATATGGTGACTACATTAGTATTTTTAAGGTAGGTTCCAAGTACATTTGTTACTAAGAGTTGTTAATACAGCATAGTTTTATGTGCTGTTCCAGACTGATGTAGAGCCGTATCGAATGGATGAAAGAACTGGAAGTCTTGTGTTTGTGGGAAATCCGTATACTTGATGGAAATGGGTCTTTCCTTAGTTTGTTGCTGAGGTCACGCATAATGTTCTATAAAAACACAGTATTTGTACAAAGACCTTGAATTAGTGTATGAAATATGTAGAATTTCTTTATTAGATTGAAATTTTTATTACTACCTGCCAAAAGAGTTTGTTTAAAAAATTAAAGTTACTTGTTACGTATATATTAGGGATGCACGGGTACCCAGCCGGGTATTGGGCTACCCAGTAATACTACGCTCCGGTGAGTGTCGAAGTTAGGCATCTAAGCCCTATATTTGTGGCAACTAACATGGTACTGAAAGTTAGTCAATAATTGGTTTGGTTAAAAAAACAAAACGCTCTTAGCAACAAAAACTGACCGCCAGCTGAAAGTCAGGGTTTGAGAAGTTGCGACTAGATATTGAAAGTAAAACTTGAATGTTTTGTTGGTGATTATTTGGTTAAATGTAATAAATGTCAATTTTGTTGGTTTTTTTTCTGATTTTTGTGTATGTTGCTGTTGTTGTTTTTTTTTGGGGGGGGAGCAAGGGAAGAAACTGGTCCCAGTTGACACCTGCCCCTGGCCAAAGCTTAGTGACCGGGAACCCAGACCTGGTATTCGGCCAAATTTTACTACCCATGCATCCCTAATATATATTGATAAAATTGGATGCAAGTCCATTCATCAGGTAAACTAAATAAAACCTTTTTACTTCTGTAACTGTGTAGAAAAGATTTACAGGGTTCAATTAATTACAGAGAAAAACTGTAGTGACACATAGGTAAACTAAATAAAACCTTTTTACTTCTGTAACTGTGTAGAAAAGATTTACAGGGTTCAGTTAATTAAAGAAAAACTGTAGTGGCACATAGGTAAACTAAATAAAACCTTTTTACTTCTGTAACTGTGTAGAAAAGATTTACAGGGTTCAGTTAA